GGCTGGTCGCTGATGGCTGGACGGCCTGGTGCTGGGCTTGGGCTGATTTGGACGGGCGCTGGGCACGGGGCTTGGACTGGCCAGTGGCTCTTGGGCTGGCTTGGGAGAGATTGGGCTTCTGTTTGGGCCTGATGATTGGGCTAATTTTATTGGACTCTCATGGTTTGGGCCTCCTCAGGTCGGGCTTCAGATGCGGATTTGGGCTAGCACACATGCCTTCCTTCATGGTTTGGGCTTTCCCAGTTTTGGGCTCTACTTGGCTCACTTGGATTATTTTTGCACATATTATTTTATTCATTCTTTAGTTGGGCTTTTCTGGATTTTAGACTGGACTTATGTCGATTGCATTTCTTGGCTTAGAACATTTTTTCTTGATCGGATTATCTGACCTTAGGCCTTACCCTTGCGGGGGTTGAGGTTCCGAGAATGATTTTATTCCTAGATCTAAGTGGAATGTTTTGAGCCGGCTTTGTAATTGCACTTAAGTCTATGTTCCAATATCCGATAAGCGCTTCACATTATAGTTCTTTGGTTGTTGCTTACTTTTTATACAAGTGAGGAGCCTGTTCCCGCTTGTTCAGACGTTTGTATTCTTTGATTGTTTAATAAAAAAAATTAAAAAAAAAAGCAACTATGGTGAGAAGTAAGACTGTCATACCGCAGAAATTCAATCACCCAAGCGTCTCCAAACATCAGCCCTCTTGGTTCAAAAAATATTGCCAAGTTAGCAAAAAACTTCGAGAAACCAAGGAGGAGAAGGAAGCAGTGGCAAATCAAGGATCTTCAGCAAGTATCACCCACATGCAGCAGCAAGAAGATGATGCAGCACATCCCCCAACTTCAGATCTGCCACAGGTGCTGTGTATAGAATACCACAAGTCAGAGAAAGAAGCAGAGATCGCTGAAGTGCAGAAACCAGATTCAGCACCCACCATCAACGTACAAAGCAAGTCTTCACCAGATGCTCCAGTTCAAGAAAACGAAGAGTTCATCCAGATCCTGTATTAAGAGCCCCTGGTTGCAGTTTCAGAAGTCCCATTTCAGAAAGAATCAGCACTCAAGAAGAGCAAGAAGAAAGAGATCCCAAATACAATTCCCCAAAGGAGGTCTGAGCGAAAGTTGAAGCTGGAGGAAGACTCCATTTCAGAAGCACCACCCCAGAAGAAGCAATCATCATCTTCCACTCCTAAGGACTCTACAGCATAGGTTACACCTATGGTGAAAACAGGAAAGTCTCCTCACTCTCGCTTTGTTTCATCAAAAGTTACGTCTCTTTTTAGTAATGTGCACAAGAAATCTATTATTGTTCAAAGAAGAATTGATGTGGAAGATTTTAAACTCAAGACCAATCTGATTCCTCTCCTTGAAAAATCCAAATTGTTGAAATCTGTCACTCTTCAAGGATCCTTTGTGAAATCTGTTATCTGTGAGTTTTACTGCAACCTGTCTGAATCCTGTGCTGATCCTACTGACCCCATGTTTCATAAGGTGTTTTTGCGTGGAAAAACCTATAAACTCTCCCCTGCTCTTATCAATACCGTGATTGATCTTACCCCCAGCAAAAAGGATACCAAAATCTCAGAAAAGACCATGTGGCTAGACCTCACAAATGGTCAAAGAGCCTCTCAGTCCAGCAAAGCAAAAATTTCCTCCTCAATACTCAAAAGTTCCTATGCCATTTTACTAAGGGTTGCAGCTCTTCACTGGCTTCCTACGACACACACCAATACTGTTTCCAAGATTATGGCAAGACTTCTCTACAAGATTAAGCACAACATACCTTTTGACCTAGGAAAACTAATCTTTGATCAAATCATGCTCTTTGCAGCTGAGAAATACAAGGCCAACTCCATTGGGCTTCCCTATCCAACACTTCTCTACAGTCTACTGGTCTCACAGGGTTCAGCAAAGAAGAAGAGGAGGAGGAAGAACTATAAGAGCCACCACTCCAAGTGGACAGCAGGCACATGGAGGGAAAGCATCACAATGACATGGAGGTTGCTGGTCCAACAACTACAAAAGACAAAAAGACACCCTCTTTGGTGAGATTCTTGGAGCAGAAACTAATGCAGGTCAAAGAGGAGTTAGCCAGGACATCACAGCTAAAAGAGAAACTGGAGATTGAAAAGGGTCACTTGGTGGTGTTGTTGCACCAGGCTAGGGAGGCAACTCCAGATGAGGAGCACACAGACTCAGAGGAGGATATCATTGGGAGCACTCATTCTGATGAACAGGAGAGTCACACTGAAGGGGAGAGTGAGGAAGGGGACTCAGCTTGATCTGATCATGTACTCACAAAACTTTGTTTTTGGATTCAAATGTTTTGATTGGGTTTGTTGATGCTGGATATGCTCTATGGTTTATGTGACATACACTATTGCTCGTTCTGATCTATGCTTGCTCTTATGCACTCCATTGTCACATGTGTATACTGCTTGTTGGTCAAGTGAATGATGTAAGTACAGTTCTATGCCACACTTTTTAGGTATTCTATGTCGCATTGTACCTACTCTTGATCGGTTGAATATTACTCTTCATTCTTTGCCCCAGTTTTTCAAATAAAACTTGGCATTTTTTGTGCAAAAAAGGGGGAGAAGAGGTTCAACACGGCTGAGTAGTGGTTTTTGTCAAAAATTGCCAAAGGGGGAGATTGTTGGTTCCTCGGGTGTGTCTTAGCCTCTTTGTCATAGGTGTTGGCTTTATTTTTGACAAAAACCATGCGTAGCAGGTTTTAGTACTCAGTTTGTTCTAGCTATGTGGTTTATAGAGCTGTAGCATCCTGTCCTTCACTCAAACAGTCCAAGAACATCTGGACTCTGCCAACTGAAGAAGGACTGCGGTTTATCTAACTGAAGAAGGACTCCGTGCTCCAAAGGTGATTAAAGACATGTGCGAAATTGGAAGAAAGCCATGTCAAGGACTCTACCCGATAAGCACAATTTGGATTCTACCCGATAAGCACAATTTGGAGGTAAAGGTGTATTAGGATTCTACTAGGGTTGGTCTCACCTTGCAAGTATAAATAAAAGGAAGACCTGCCTGTTTTGGGTGATGTACTGAGAGAATATACGTCAAGAGAGAATCCTGAGTAAAGATTTGATCAGCCAAGCAGATTGAAGGACACATATGGCTGGTAGGCAGAATAACCTTCTGCTTGAAGATTAACGTGCGTTCCAGACAGTTGAATTGAGAAGAGCTGGAGCGTAGGCCAAGAACACGTCTCAGATAAGTAGTTCAGTGTTTCAGTCTCGGTATCTCTGCATAAACCGAGTTCATTGCATCCCATTAAGTTGTAGAGTTTAGATCAATGGATAGATCGAGTCTGTTGTCGTTGAGGGTGTAAACTCTGACTTGATTTAGTGGGAAGGCTGTTACACTGACGTGGGCCTCGTAGACATAGGAGAAATTGCTCCGAACTGCGTAAACAATTTGCGTGTTGTGTGCTGTTTGTTTTTGTTTCCGTCTGTTTATTCAGCAGTTGGTGAAGCACTTTGTTTTACGACTTAGTATCAGAAAGTGCTTCAGCAACCTCTGTGACAAATTGTTTTTCTTAGGTTGCTACAGGTCATACGCTGAGGGAAGTGAAACTTTCAATACCCTCTACAAGACTTCACACTCAAGACTTAAGTCACATAAGTCTTATACAATAAGAAGAACAATCATCTTCAACCTCACAACAATAACTCTCACAAGAGTAGAAATGAGAAAAGATTAAGCTCTATGGATGATAAGAACACTCTCTTGAAAACACTTAGTTTTCTCTTAAAATATATCAATTTGAGGAAGAAATGAATGGAGGATTATAACCTCAAGATTGGGGGAGTTTAGGAGTGCTTGTTCATTGTTAAAATGATAAGGAAAAGAGTTTATAAAGGGTTTGAAGGAATATGTTCGTTGGAGCTTAGAAAAAAGAGTTTGCTGAAAAAAGCAGCATAAAAATCGATTAATGCACCATGGTAATCGATTAATGCAGTCTGTGCAAAAATCCTTCAGCGGACAAATTGGTAATCGATTTTTGCCAAAGTGTAAAAATCGACTTTTGAAGCAATTATGCCCAAACAAGAAGGACACAATCATGTGTGCTTTCCAAAAATATTTTCTAATATCAAAATAAATATTTTGATAAATGTTTGACACACCTTTTGTAACTGACTCAATGAATGTATTTTGAACAGTTAAAAAGATTTTTCAACTAACTCCAAAAATATATTTACTCTCATAAAAATATTATTTGGAGAGAAGATATTTTTGTCATCTTTACAATAATTCCTAAGACTCAAATAAATAAAAAGTCTTCGGAAATCTTCTACTCCTCCGAGTCCTCTGTTAGGCGCTCCAAATGCGTCTCGGACTCCAATAAAATCTTGTGCACATTCTTGAATGCTTCAAGGAATTTGCACTTCAAGTCTTTGTGTTTGTCGCTGTATCACTTTGATCTTGACTTGAATAAATTATGTTTGTCAATTATCAAAACCTGTGAGTCAACACTTAACAACACAGAAATGATTGAACTCATGCATTCCAACAGGTAGAGTAAAAAAGAATTTGCATGTGCCAAATCATTGGCAATACGAAGGAAAAGATGGTGACTCATACAAAAGCGATACCTAAATGGGCAATAATGCTCCATCCATTGCACAACTTATTTATAAAATCCTCGTAGTTTCAAAATAATATTACACACACGCTCCCTATGATCATTTTCCAACCATTGTCCAAGGTGAAGATGGAGCATTGGTGCCTATTTTCCGAACAAGAAGGGGCAATAACTCTTAAAAAAAGAAAATATAACTATTGAGTACATTAATAAGTTTCTTTTTCTAGACGTCTAAAAATTTCCATATATTTTGGATTCCCAAAAAAGATTATTTCTTTTAAGTTTAAAAGTAAAAAAGAAGACTTCTTTCAATTTTTTGAATGTGCAAGGCACTCGTCCAATCAAATCTTTTTCTTTTAACCCAACAGATTAAAAAATGGCTTTTTTGAAGTCTCGAAAAAGAATCTTACCAGTCAATTCATCACTATATTTTTCCTTTTTTATAAGAGTATTTTTGTATGCTTTTCTTTTCTTTCATTTCCCTTTTCAATTATTTGTTTCTATTTTGTTTTAATTTATTTCCTTTTTCTATCTTCATTTTTTTGAAGTTTCCAAAAAAGGTTTTACTTCTTATTTTGGAAAAAAAATAATTTTTAATTAGAGACATGCGGTGTATATGTTATTTTTTCATTTCATTTATTTTTTATTTGAAACACAAATAATTTTGAATTTTTAAAATATAATGAAAAAATATAAACAAGAAATTAAATAATATCTATAGAGAAAACGAAGAAAGGGAAAAAACCAAAAAATAATGAATATGAGCTCAGTTGCCCCTATAGTTCGGAAAATAGTTACCAATGCTCGTTTCTTCACGAGAAAATGGCTATAAAATGATCAGAGTGATGTATAAGCAACGTTTTGAATTCACATAGTTTTTCTAAATTGTGCTTATTTCTTGAATCACAAGGGTTCTAGAGTGTGGCAATTTCGTCTCAATTTGAATTACACATTGAAGTTTATCTCGAGAAGGGACAGATAAATATAACATTCACCCCAGATTTAAGTTTAAAGATGGGAAAGTAAAATGATGACTCGGAGGTGCAGTAACACGTTGCGTGATCAAATATTCATTCAGGTAGAGAGATACGTGTCGGCTGCATATATAGCTTCCTCCTGTCGGTGCTCGACCGCGCAAGGCTCCACGTGTTTGGAGGAGGCAAGAGTAAATGAAATGGTGGAAATAGCCTCTTTGGACAGGCCCGCTTTTTTACCCGTCGTCTCCATATGAAAAATGAAAAAGTTACCCAAAATAAAAGTAAAATATAAAAAAGTATTAAAATAAGACTTTATATTTTTATTTCTAAATAAAAATCAAATATAGGGAAAGTAAAACATAGAGAAAATATTGAAATATGAGTTTGCACTATGATAATGTGTCACTGTATTGACATTTCACATTATTTTTTGTTATTCATATGTTGACATTATATTTGGAGATTAATATTATAAGACTTCTATTTTGATAATTTTTCTATATTTTATTTCTATTTTAGTCTTTCTTCCATTTGAATGTGTTTGATTTTTTTAAATAACCCTATATCCTTAAATAATTTACACACTTCATTATTCTAAATTCACAAGAACATAGTTTATTTGACTTTTGCATGAGTTACGGAGCATTTGATAAAATTATAGGGAGTATATTCTAGTCACATTTTATATTGTAAAACTATTGATACCATTTTTAAATATGTAATTTTTATTTTGTATTTTGATATCAATTTCTAAATCAAAAAAATTGAAATTTTACCTCATTTTGACTTTCATGTAAGTCATTTTGAGACGAAATGAGTACAAAAATTAAAAAGTAAAAATACCCCGTATTTTATATAATAAAAAAAGTGTGAATTTGTTGGCAAGGAAAGATAAAAGTATATGAGTTTTGTTGGGTTTGTGGAGGCTTGGGCTTGACTTGTATGCCCGGACCATGTTTTGTGGAGCAAACGACCAACATATGTAGAAAAAAAAATTCCATTCCTGGCAATGTATGTCAGGCATTTTTTTCCTGATAGTGCAATACGGATTTGGCTACTCCAGTTCTGCTCGGAAATTTTAAATAAAACGGAGTATTATTTACTTCTCGGAAAAAAATCCGTATATATATACACACACATGCATATATATAAATTAACTGAAAAATAAAAAATACCTCCATGAAACGGATTAGGCTAGTCTGAATTGTACTTCCGGCGGTGGCCGGGTTCCCCTCTTTGGTCGGATTTCTCTTCGATGGGTGGAGACGCTGGAATGCTGCTGATCTCTTCGACTGGAATGGGGATGGAGGCGGTGGAATGGGTGGGCGGAAGGGGATGGGTTGGTTATCCGGATAGAGAGACGGAGTAGCCCAAATCCGTTTGAAATAAATTTCGACTGAAACAGATATAAATATATATATATAAATATATATATATATATATATATATATATAAAACGGATATATATATATATATATATATAAATATATATATATACATATAAATATATATAATAAAAAGGATCTTTATTGATAAGGAAAGGAGTTACACTCTCGAAAGAAAAAATATACACACTAACAATTAGAAAGAAGAACAACCCTTTTTTCCTTTTCTCCAAAATTTATCAATCTCCCAAGCATCAAAGTCTTTGTCATGAATTACCCATTTCTTTTGTTGGTGAGTCCATGCCCTAGCCTGAATAAGCTTGCCAATTTGTTGGATAATTGTACGTGGGCTCATTGTGTTTCCATCATAGTTATAGGCGTTGCTCGCTTTCCATAAATTCCATGCGATAATTCCTGGGAGTATAATAATCTTAAGCGCTCCGTTGAAAGTTTTCAAGTTACCTCTTACCCACCATGAGATTGCATGTTGGCGAAGTAAGAGGTTTGACGTGAGCATGGGAGCATCAACCAGGCCTGCGAAATAGTTCCATATAGTTTTGCTCTCTTTGCAGTTGAGCAGGTAGTGATCCAAATCTTCTTCAGAGTTAAAGCAGAAACCGCAGCGACTAGGGAGTGCTACGTGGAACCTTCGAAGTGAAAGGTTACCACGGTTGGGAGGGCAGCGGAAAAACAAAAATTTAAACTCCCAATAGTGATAACTAGCCCAAGAACACGTACTAAAACTATAGCTAGAGATAGAAAGTGATACCTTCTCCGATAAAGCGGTATGAACGAGAAGTCGAGGAAAAAGGTGTTGAAGGAGTAAACGTAGCCGTTCAAGCGTCCGGCCTCCAACTTTGACACACGAACAATCTCCGGAGTCTACTATAATCTTTATGCTAGTAAAGATTATAATAGTATATTTAATATAAAGGTTTAAGAGGGATAATTTTAATCTTGTATATTAAGTAGTAGAAAATATATCAATAATATTTTAAAGAAAATATTATAACAATTTTCTACACTCAAAAGGATAAACTTTTATTTCAAAACTCTCCCCACTCCTTCAAAGCTTTTCTTCGGCCGAAAAAATTGGAGAGGTGTAGTGATGGAAGAAACTCATTTTATTCAAAATGATAAAAGACATAAACAACCATAAGAGTACAAAATGCCATTTTGTCAAAAACTCTTCCTCTACTAATTTTAAAGTGGGAGACAATGCCATGACCTCCACCAAAATAATGCATAGTACGAAAGTAGAAAAAGGGGGAAGAATTTAATTATTCTCCTCTCAAATGTTTAAAGTGTATTTTATTTGACATCAATAATTTTTATGATATAAAATAAAATACCTAAAACATTTTAAAACAAGTATATAAAATATACTTTAAAATAGTTTTTGTCAAAATAATTATTTTCATAATTAAAATGACACTCCAAAATAAAATGTACACAATATAATATATAATGTAATATATACATATGTACACCTTATTAAAGCTTATTACATACATATATATATGTACGCACATACATATTACATATATGTACACATACGCACTAACATATAACCATATACATACATATGTGTGCGTCATGTATAAAGTATATATATATATATATATATATATATATATATATATATATATGACGTGTACAATGTATATATTTATATTATATTAAACATTTTACTTTACTATTTTACAATATACAAATTAAATATTATCCCCTCTTATAATCCTACTCTTAAATTGTTCAAAGTGTGTGTGACCCATATAGGCACTTATAAAACTGGCCACAGTATTGACTCTACACCAATACTATAAGTAATAAGCAGTATCTAGCAACACATTATTACCCCCAGATTATAAGTTCAGACGTTTGCTCCGTCAAAACCTTTCTACGACTAAGACTTTGTATAACGTAGATCCTTTTGTCCCAATGTCTTAACTTAGTGCAAGGGATATAAAATATCCAACTTGTAGCAATTAAGTTATTTACTGATTAACAAGTCTGACTGATGAGAACAGATGTCTAAACTCATCTCAGCATGGCCATGCATTTCTTCAGTCATACTTATCAGTGGGCCCCTACAAGACATTATTATGATTGAGTAGCAGTGACAAATTCTTTGTACGTAATCTACGTCTCCGAATACGTGCAGCGGCATGCCCAATACAAAGCCTGTGTACCATCCTTATTTCATACGGCTTAGGACAATGAATCAAAGCATGCGGGTTCACGCATTCGAAGAACGTAATACTTCAAGTCTAAGGATTGTTATACCAATAGTCGCATTAAGGACACTTAGAGCATAGACTAAAAGTCTAGGCAATGTCCTTAAGGTGGGTCAGGTTTGGCATCCTATTATTAACGATAATATCTGCCCGAGAGTAGAGGCGAACACTCCGTCATTGACCAAGAGACTAGGTCAAACATCTAACTCTCACTAGTCTCACACGCACTAACGATATCCCGCTCTCGTTAATGCTTCGACTATAGACCATTTAGAATTATACTAAGTGACAAGATGTCAGTCTCAACATCAGAAGACTCATTCTGATAAACATCTTATAATATAATTCTAGGAATGCAATTAATAGTTTACATTAGCATGAGATGTTTGTAAACTTAATGCATCTGCCTTTACATGATAGAAAATCACTAAGATATTACAACAGCAGTTGGCCATAAGGGCACCAACTCCAACAATCTCCCACTGCACTATGGCCAATCTGGCATTGGTCGAATGCCCATTGACCTAGTGTGACCCTCATGCTTTAGCTTTCCCAAGGGCTTGGTCAGGGGGTCGGCTATGTTGTCGTCTGTTCCTACTTTGCAAATCTCTACATCACCTCTGTCTACGATTTCTCGTATGATGTGATAACGTCGTACAATGTGCTTGGTCTTTTGGTGAGATCGTGATTCCTTTGCCTGTGCAATGGCCCCAGTGTTGTCGCAAAACAACGGGATTGGGTCATTAATGCTAGGAACCACTCCAAGTTCAGAAATGAACTTCTTTATCCAAACACCTTCCTTTGCTTCTTCAGCAGCAGCCATGTACTCAGCCTCTGTAGTTGAATCAGCGGTTGTGTCCTGTTTAGAACTCTTCCAGCTAAAAGCTCCGCCATTCAGGCAAAACACATACCCTGCTTGTGACTTGTAATTGTCTCGATCGGTTTGGAAGCTTGCATCAGTGTAACCGACCACTTTCAGCTCTTCCTCACCTCCATATACCAGGAATGCATCCTTAGTATTCCGAAGATACTTTAGGATGTTCTTGACCGCTGTCCAGTGTGCGTCACCTGGATTCCCCTGGTATCTGCTGGTCACGCTTAAAGCGAATGAGACATCAGGTCTAGTACATATCATGGCATACATGATGGAACCAATTGCAGAAGCATATGGGACCTTCATCATGAGTTCCTTCTGCTCGGGAGTAGAAGGACTCTGGCTCTTGGAAAGAGCCGTGCCAGGTATCATAGGTAAGGATCCCTTTTTCGAGTTAGACATGCTAAATCGATTAAGGACCTTATCTATATATGTACTTTGACATAGACCTATCAACTTTCTTGACCTATCACGGTAGATTCTTATGCCAAGGGCATAACTAGCATTCCCCAAGTCCTTCATGGCGAAGTTCTCGCTCAACCAAGTCTTTACAGANTACATCAGAGTGTATGAGGCCTAATACATCACTCGCCCTTTCACCGTGACCGGTGAATGGAGCCTTTGTCATTTTACCGAGTAAACAAGATTGGCATACATCATAAGACTCGAGGTCAAATGAATCAAGTACGCCAGAGTGACGTAACTTAGATATGCGTTTCTCGTTAATGTGGCCCAAACGACAATGCCAAAGGTATGTGAGATTCAAACTGTTTGGTTTGCTTCTCTTAACATCTACGTTATAAACAGTGGCGTCTAAGTCTAAGTTATAAAGACCATTGGTCATCTTAGCAGTTGCATAGTAAATATCATTTCTGAAAACCGAAAGGCACTTGTCTTTGACGTTAATAGAAAATCCTGCTTTGTCAAGACAGGACGCAGAAATGATATTCCTGCTAATGGCAGGTACAGACAAGCAATTGTTTAAATGCAACAACAAGCCACTGGGGAGAGATAGAACATAAGTTCCTACAGCCAGCGCATTGACAAGTGCTCCGTTTCCGACCTTAAGCTGGACTTCTCCCTCAGTCAAATGTCTAACTTCATGCAAATTCTGCATAGAAGTACAGATGTGAGAACCACATCCGGTATCCATCACCCAAGAGGTGAAATCAGACATGTTGACTTCAATAACGTAAATACCCGAGTTTTTGGGGTGACCCTGTAATAGGTCTCTTAAGCGATGTATCATAGGACGCGCTTCCATGTCCGCGTGGAGCCTTTGGAGCTCCGCGGTCATACTTGCCATAATGATACACTTAACATCTCACGCGTCGTCCTCATACTTCTTGAAGGAAGTGAGTTCGGACGCACGAGCATTTGCCTTAGGGATCTTGGGAGGATCCGTTTCGAGGATGTAAAGTTTCCTCTCACAGTCAAGAATGATTCGTAGGTTCTTCTCCCAGTCAAGAAAGTTTTCCCCAGAGAGTTTTTGGCTCTCGAGGATATACCACAGGTTGATGGAATGACTGTATGTGTTATTTGATGCCATCTACAGAATGAAATTGCAAACTAGGTAACTATCATGTTGAATAATTAATTAGGCCTTTAATTAATTATTTCCCACTATTTTAACAAACCAACAACCCTCAATGTTGATTCGGAGATTCTCCTAGAGATTCTCTTAATGGGCCAAGATCCATATATCATTAAATTCTAGTTGACCTGAGGTTCGCACCTAGAATTTAACTATTTAGGTAGGAACATAGTTCCAACTGTCGAGCCGCGCTCACAGTTCTTGGTCTTGTGTTGGGCGAACGACAATACTACTTACGGACCAGAACACCGTTTCATTATACATGTGATTGGCTTTGGCACGTACCACATGCACAACTACTTTAGTTAGGGCTAAGCCCAATTAAGTCATAGAGACCCAACTTCTGGCTGGATGAGTGAGTAAAGTAATTCGACTTGTCAGTAGAGTGACCCCAACGAAACCCGCCTCTGAGTCATCCATCCATTTGACCGAGACTCAGTTAAGTCTAACCCAACGTCTGACAATGACCACTTAAGTGATTCCCGTGACCAGCATAACATACACCGTACTACGCTCTGCTAGGGCTGAGTACGTGACAGTGCACATTAGCCGGAAATGTGCCGGGCGCCGGAAGGCAATACAGACTTAATATTTCGAGGGATTTTATATTTACGATCTCACCTACGACACATGCCGCGCACGTGTCAATTTACTAGCGTTAAACATACACTCACATGCATTCAAAATACGCAGTAAATAAACGTGTAATGATTGTGGCCCCTAAAGGAAAAATAAAACGATAGCTCCCACTGACTTCCAGGCTCTTGGACTTCGGGCTATCTCCATTCCTTTAGATTCCCTCGAACGGACTTTGAATTTTTTGTCTTTTAACCACCACGTGAGAAAAGAATCCTCGGTTGAGGTAAGAGAGAGAAATAGATTTACAACAAGAGTTTAAGAGATAAGGCACGACACGCAGGCCGTATTATAATCAAATAAACTATAGCCACAATCATCCACCATGCATATCATACATCCACACAGGCAATAGAGATATACATACACCGGGCGAACCGCGCTCGCCCCAGACAATTCTAGAAAAATACTACGTTGGTAATATTTTCTAAAATTCATAAAAATTCATAAAGTGGTCCAAAAATTATGAAATTTTACCAAGTCATCCTAAATACATTATGAGTCTTTCGGGCAGGGGCAAAACTGGAAAATAAATTTCCAGGAAACACAGAATTACGAAAATGCCCCTAGTGCAATGTTTATTCCAAAATTCATTTTAAATTTGAAATAAAATTGCAAAAATCATGAAAATTAATTTCCAACTTCCAGTAACTATTTTATACATTTATAAATCGGAAAAATAAATTTCCAGAATTTATAAATATTTATTTCCCAAATATATTAATTATATCTCAATAATTGCGAAATAATTTTAAATCATTTTTCAAAAATCATTAAATTATAAAATTTAATCTTTAGAAAAATCAATTTACTTTTTACTGAGATATAATTTTCCAAAATGATATTAGCCATTTTCAATTAATATATACATATATATCTATATATATTACTCGGTAATATATATATACCGAAATATATACATATATATAATTAATTACTAACTAATATTATTTTGTCCAATATATTTATGAGCAACTTTATTTCACCTAGAAATGATATTTCCAAGTTTTATAAAGTTCATTTTTGAGTTTCCAATATTTATTTAAGATTTATTGGAATTAAATCTAAACAAATACAATTAACTCAAAACTTGGAAATAAACAATTTCGAAAATTACAATATAATTTTATTAACCATAAAATGATATTTTATGTCCAATAAAATTATATTCACAATTTCGAAATATATATAAATATATATTTTCGAAATTCCCGAATATATTTATAAAAATATATTACCGGTACAAATAAATAATGAATATTTATTTTAATTATTTATTTAAGTCCAATATATATCTCATGACTAAAATAAATCATTTTACTAATTTTCGAGATTAACAAATAATTACCAAGTTAAAAATAATTTCCATCCGAAAAAGTTCTACAAAAACGTACTATAGTTTTGTACGTTGGCTCTGATACCACTGAAAGGTTACCACGGTTGGGAGGGCAGCGGAAAAACAAAAATTTAAACTCCCAATAGTGATAACTAGCCCAAGAACACGTACTAAAACTATAGCTAGAGATAGAAAGTTATACCTTCTCCGATAAAGCGGTATGAACGAGAAGTCGAGGAAAAAGGTGTTGAAGGAGTAAACGTAGCCGTTCAAGCGTCCGACCTCCAACTTTGACACACGAACAATCTCCGGAGTCTACTATAATCTTTATGCTAGTAAAGATTATAATAGTATATTTAATATAAAGATTTAAGAGGGATAATTTTAATCTTGTATATTATATTAAATAGTAGAAAATATATCAATAATATTTTAAAGAAAATATTATAACAATTTTCTACACTCAAAAGGATAAACTTTTATTTCAAAACTCTCCCCACTCCTTCAAAGCTTTTCTTCGGCCGAAAAAATTGGAGAGGTGTAGTGAAGGAAGAAATTCATTTTATTCAAAATGATAAGAGACATAAACAACCATAAGAGTACAAAATGCCATTTTGTCAAAAACTCTTCCTCCACTAATTTTAAAGTGGGAGACAATGCCATGACCTCCACCAAAATAATGCATAGTACGAAAGTAGAAAAAGGGGGAGAATTTAATTATTCTCCTCTGTTTAAAGTGTATTTTATTTGACATCAATAATTTTTATGATATAAAATAAAATACCTAAAACATTTTAAAACAAGTATATAAAATATACTTTAAAATAGTTTTTGTCAAAATAATTATTTTCATAATTAAAATTACACTCTAAAATAAAATGTACACAATATAATATATAATGTAATATATACATATGTACACCTTATTAAAGCTTATTACATACATATATATGTACGCACATACATATTACATATATGTACACATACGCACTAACATATAACCATATACATACATATATGTGCGTCATGTATAAAGTATATATATATATATATATATATATATATATATATATATATATATATATATATATGACGTGTACAATGTATATATTTATATTATATTAAACATTTTACTTTACTATTTTACAATATACAAATTAAATATTATCCTCTTATAATCCTACTCTTAAATTGTTCAAAGTGTGTGAGACCCATATAGGCACTTATAAAACTGGCCACAGTATTGACTCTACACCAATACTATAAGTAATAAGCGGTATCTAGCAACACATTATTACCCCCAGATTATAAGTTCAGACGTTTGCTCCGTCAAAACCTTTCTACGACTAAGACTTTGTATAACGTAGATCCTTTTGTCCCAATGTCTTAACTTAGTGCAAGGGATATAAAATATCCAACTTGTAGCCATTAAGTTATTTACTGATTAACAAGTCTGACTGATGAGAACAGATGTCTAAACTCATCTCAGCATGGCCATGCATTTCTTCAGTCATACTTATCAGTGGGCCCCTACAAGACATTATTATG